TGTTTTACCTATTTTTAAAAGAAACGTGTATGATATTTGACGATTGGCGTAGTATTACACAGGATCATTAAATAGGAATGGTATGGTCGCAAGTGGACATGTAGTTTGAGATGTCCTGAGTATTAAAAAAAAAAATTATCGGGATCTATCGACGATTGTGACCATGGAAGAGTTTTGTCCATTTTTCCCCACTGTGCGACGGTGCGGCATCAAATACAAAAATGTGGTCACTTTTGGGTGTCACTGGGACGATGGAAAAAACCAAAACGTGATTTACTGATATCATGGACAACGATCGAAAAGTATTCGTTTTTTCCGATATCTGCACGTCATAAAAAATGTCCGGAACCGGTTGTACAACAAAAAGAAACTTTGGGTCAGTTATAAGATGAGAATCTGTAGTTCTTATTAATGTTTACGAGCGTGAATATTGACAAGATATTAATGAGTATATTAATGAGTATACCTTTTTATACAATAAAGTAAGTTCAGAAAATACTTTCAATAAATATATACCTTTCCTGGAATCCCTGTGAACCTGAAAAAAGTATTTATACAAGAATTTATACATGCTATTTCTATGCGCGCTGAGCAATCAGCAAATGTGATCAGCTTCATCAAAAGATTTACAATACGCAGAACAATAAATATCGATATTATTTTGTAGTTGAAATCGACGGTAGACTACGTTTGCTGGAACTATTTCGAAACATTGTACAATCTCGACAAGGGCCACCCCGGAAATGCACGAGTTTGTCCCAAAATAACTAACAGGCATATTGTGCTGGACAACACATCAAAAATGCGAGTCAGATTTGCAACTCAGGTATGTTTACATATAACGAAAAATAGGATGCTAATTTGTATTATTTTCAACTTTATAAGTTATTGAAAAAAAATCGACTTATAATACAGATCTTTAGCAACTCCGTTGCGGACGGGCTCGCATTCTATTTATCTCACGGATGCGAAGGACTCGGCGGGTGCGAACAAGCAATCTCATTTTGCAAGCGCTTCAACGATATGTTCAATGCAATGAATAGAAAAATTCCAAATCAAGGACTCACGCCTAGTTTTAACGACTTTCAGGTATAGAAATATCCCGGATTGAACGATTAAAAATAAAATAGAGGATACGGGTTTTTTTTCACTGTTACTCAATTACTAATCATAGGTTCTAGAAGATTCAATGCGGTGTCTGAACGATTGGGAATCGGCTATGATGAAAGGAGATATCTCTACAGATGAATTTCTCACAACCGAAACATCACGAGGACTAAGGATATCTCTTCAATCGACGATGGAGCTATGTCGTTATCTCATTGATAACTTTGATTTCAAGTATCTGTTGACTGGGAAAGTAAATCAGGATAACTTACAGGCAATTCATATTTCTCTTATCCAATAATGTGTTCATTACATTGCAGAAATATAAGACATGTGCTTATCTGGTGTACGATGAACCATTACTTACCTCTTTTTTAGAAATTCTTCGGCAGAATACGCCAATGCGCGGGTTGTAACAATCATCGAAGCGGCCCTACGTTTCTGCAATTATATAAATTGATATCGGTATACAGCGTGATAAAGCCTTCAAGATACGGTAATTGCACGGTTTCGGACGATACGAGGCCGGTGACGTTGATCTCCATCAGTGAAATTAAAGATATTTACGGCACCAAGCGTGAGGGCAAAAGTGCGGAATATGTGAAAAAAATTCAAGAGAGACTAGATAGAATATTACAACATGATGATTGGGAGGCAGACGATATCATCGATCCTCATTCAGAACATGACTATGTCCTTTCCCTTATCCTTGATTGTATTATCTACTATGCGACAGGTTTTGTATTTTCATTGGCTCTCCGCGAAAAGTGTTTTATCTAAATGAAAGCGTAGGTTTTTTATTGTAATCACAACAACGCTTGTTATAATTGACTAACATATTTAGCTCAATGTTGACATAAAATTCATGTTATTTCGCTCGAAGGGCAAAGGGTTTCTATTCAAAATTAGAGTTCAGGCTCATTAAATTATTTATTCCAGGTTACCTGTGCAAACAAGTTCTTAAAAAATATAAATCCTGCACAACGTGTGAAGAAGTCTTGAGATTGAAGTCCAGCTGCGGGTCCTCGGAGTCGCAATTGGTACAAATGAAATCACGTATTGGACTGATTCACGCAAATTTTCATTTCTTTCGTCTCATTAATTATATAGAAGCATCATTTTCGAAATATTCTTCTCACATTGACATCTTTGATGTAACTCTTGATGAAGTACTCGATAACTATACCTTTACGTTTCCCTGTAAAGATCATGCCTCTGAAATTCTATCCTATGCAATAGTTTACTATCTTAGGTTAAGAATGAGACAAAACGCTCACCAAGAGAACCTAAAACTGAAAAAGAATTTTGTTGTTAAGAAAAAACTGTCTAAGTTGACTAATTCATAAATGGTGAACGTCGGCAAAACATCCCAATAATGTATATTTCTCACCTTACAATATTTTCGTAGATACTGCCATTTATATTTGTTGAAATATGAAATTGAAATACCTGAAAAATGAAAAAATTACATAAAACTGGAAAAAGGGAACGGTTAATTCTTATTTGTACTCTCCCAGATTTGAAAAACTGGAAAAACCTGCAAAAATTAGATACAATATTGGACGAAATAAAATAAAAAAAAAGAGAAAATAAAAGATTTGATTTTCATTCGTACTTACCTATATGTAAATTAGTGGCAAATCTGAAAAAAATAGTTATAAAATTTAAAAAATAAACAATACATTGGGGATAATGGAAAAGTTGATTTCTATTCGTATTTAACTACATTCACAAATTATGTATAAACCCATTTTACCGAACTTATATATGTTACAGATATTTCAAAATTATTTATGTTTATCGCACTCGCTTGGATTCAGAATATTTCACAATTCGTTGATATTGAGGGCATATTTCTTCTAATATATGTCGGCGCATAACCAGGAACCACCAACACAGGGCCCGTTTTGATTCTTTTCTTTAGTTGTTTTGATTTTCTGTTGTTGTTTAGATTGAGTTTTGTTTTGTTTGAGTAACGACCGGTGGTCAAGATGTCCACTGACTCAGGAACGGGAGGGGGAAAGGTCGGCACCTTACTAGGGTCAAGACGAGAGGAAGTCAGTAAGTCTTAAGCCTACGAGTACTACCAGTCGTGACCCAAGCTTGAGCGAGTGTTGTATTGAAGGTGAATAAAAAGGGAACCAGTCCAAACGGACTTACTTGATTGTTACCTGGCCCAAGTCTCTCACGAAAACAGCAGAGAGCAATGAGTGAAGGAGCGCCTGAGGCGAATTTCGAAGGTCCGACAAACCTCACGACATATATTTAGTTGGGCTGACGGGATTAACGCCTTTTGTTAGATACTTTGAATGGTTTCGCAATCGTAACAAATACCTATAAAAAATATGGAGTTGGGTCTGCGGTGGAGATTTTGAGTGGGACAGTGACAGAGAGATTCCCCTTGACCTCCAACGTCCCTCGTCATCGTGCTGAAACTTATTGCAACGACTCTAGCGGCGACTATGGAACTACGGCGCAGCGACACTAAAAGACCTACCCCCACCACTGGAATTTCCAGACCTGTATGTAAGACTGTGGCCCACAGCAATAAACTTCTCCAGGCTCTAGCAATTCGAACTTGATAACTTCGCTCGTCTCGAAAGATAGATACATCATTCATTATAAGAATTTGAAACAGTGGTTGAAATTAGGTATAAAGTTAACAAAAATGCATTGTGTTCTAAAATTTAAACAGGCACCATGGCTCAAAAAGTATATAGATTTGAATACCGAAATGAGAAAAAATCGAATAATGATTTTGAAAAAAAAATTTATAAACTTATGAATAATTTGGTTTCTTCAACAGCGGAGCGAAAACGCTCGTTTTCGTTGCCTATGTTTTGTTTGCCTATTATATGATCTAGCACTGGCCCATCGTTTTAATTGTATTTTCAAAATTACGCCAAGTACAGGAGTGCTGTGTATTCCTCTAATAAAAAGTATTGATATCACATTATTGAGGCCAAGTACATAAGTCACTACATGTTTGCCTATTATATGATCTAGCACTGGCCCATCGTTTTAATTGTATTTTCAAAATTTCTTATAACGTTTTCACTACTCTTTTACATTACTACTGCTTCCCGTAGTTGATTATGATTTAATGGTCATTTAATAATTAATCAAACTTTAGATGATTTCTTATCGAGTACTACTTGGCGGGTCCATGCATTTCTTGACATAAATTTGCGTTCATTATGCCAGTCATCAAACTCAAAACCAATGTCAACTTTCTATATAGAGCTTATTAACAATAACTCGTCAAAAATAATCACGATAAAAGCTTAATAACAAACATACAGTTTTAGGATACTATTAGTATGTTCAAAATAAGTACTTTGGAATTCCTGGCACGGACCAGCCAAGTAGTACTCGATAAGGAATCACCTAACGTTTGATTAATTATTAAATGACCATTAAATCATAATCAACTACGGGAAGCAGTAGTAATGTAAAAGAGTAGTGAAAACGTTATAAGAAATTTTGAAAATACAATTAAAACGATGGGCCAGTGCTAGATCATATAATAGGCAAACATGTAGTGACTTATGTACTTGGCCTCAATAATGTGATATCAATACTTTTTATTAGAGGAATACACAGCACTCCTGTACTTGGCGTAGATTTTTACACGTAAGTGTTTTTTGGAGGATATCGCAAGTTTTTGTTGTTCAATAGGATATATGAAAAAAGTTTTAAACACTGAAATTTGTATTGTTAAACAAATATAAAATATAAATACATTGTAATGTCACTAATCAGATAAATATATTGCATTGTCGAAAATGTTAAAAGGCATATAAATGTAATTTATAGTAAGTAAGTTACAATTTATAATTATACAATTTATAGTAAGTTCATTTTTCTTAGAAACATAAAAATATATGTAAATTTGACAAGATAATATAATCTTAAATGTAGAATGAAATTGATTTAGAAAGAAGTTGAGTCATTTAGGAATCTTCGTAAGCTTTCTACCGTGATAATCATAGACGTGACACCAGAAGATTACCATATCTGAAGATATTGGAATTGGTGATTGCCTATTCTCTCGGGAATAAACTTGCAATGTGAAGAAGTTTTCGATTGCTATTTTGAGAGCGTATGTGTTGAACGCTTTTCTTTGCAGATAAAGCTTCAGTGGTTGGAACAAATAGTAATCTGATGGCTCTCTGTTCGGAGAGTACGGTGCTATCCGAGCTCCGCGATTTTCAGTCGAGTTTCTGAAGCAATGTGAAGGCGAGTGTAAATTGTCTTGGAAGATTTAACCAGTTGTGTGTCCCGGATGTTTTCCTTAAATGTCGTTGGTTTGTTTCTGAAATTAATCAACATATACGGAAGCTGTTACCGTTTTCTTTACAGAAAGTAGCCCGTAGTAGAGCGGATCTATTGCATCTTACCAAACAGAAAGAGAACGCTTGTACGTATAAGGGTCAGCTTCAGCTGCATTGATGGCTCTGCGTCGCGAGGAAGCCAGATAGCGTGCCGTACATTATTGTTGTAAAGGATCTAGCTTTCAGCATCAGTCACTAAATCCTCGAGAAACTTTTTACGATGCGGTTAGAAGAGAAGTGATTCGTAGATGTCGACTATGACTTGACGATGAGTATCAGTTAGCCGATGTAGGATCCATCATGCTATCATCTTGAGACAGTCAAGATCGTGAAGATGCGTCATGATGGTGCGACAGCAGCCAAATGTCGTTGCTAAATTGCGTATAGTTGTCTTTCGATTAACTTTAATGTTATTGCATGATTCGTTGTCGTTGACAGTGGATGGTTGTCACGACCGTTCGTTGTCTTAGAGACTTGTATCTTCTGAAGCGAACTAATTAAATCAGCGGTTGATCGTCCATCAAAATACGGTGCCTCTGTGGAACGTATTGTGGATATTCGCTGTTGCTGCGACCTCGAGAGAGAGGAGCATGGCGTGTACGCAGTGCGATCTTATATCAGCGACATACTAATATTGCAATAGCGTGCCTTTTAAAATTCAATACTCCCCCTCGATTTAAGGATGGTTGTTCTTCGAGATTGGGAAGTTAGACAAAGCGAGGAGTTTCACACATTTCATGTGTTTTGGCCTGGATAGTCCCTTGGTAAAAATGTTCGCAGCCATCTCATCGGTTGGAGTGTATTCGATTGTTATCTGGGCTCCGTGAAGATGACTATCCCGGCCCTTCTCCGAGGGAAAGAGATTAAATTCGGCAAATCCGAAGCTTGCCGAGTCCTATTATTACTGGTTTGCCGAATTTAGCCGAACCAAAACAAAAATACCCCCCTCCCGCAGTACCTTGCCATCCAGGTCGCACGCCGGGACGATCAGGTGTTCAGCGGGCGGGTAGCGGGGAGCAGGCGATCGGCGGCCTCATCGGCGTAGGATATTAGTCCTCGTGCCTCACCGTCCGATTCGCCCTACCGCCACCGCAGCCGAGCCTCCTTCCCTCCCGATCGCGCAACCCTTCGACGCGGACCCTGGATTTTTATCCCTTAACGGTATCAGCGATAAGAATCATATTTATATTGTTATCCACGATTTCGACTTTTTCCTTGTCGAAGATGACCTTAAAGTTTTAATCGGCGATTTTTTTGTAGGTTTTGCTTTCAGATAGTAGTGATCGTGCTTTCTTTGGAATCTTGTAATTTTCCTTGACCACTTATCCTTCATTCTTTCCTCTTTATTTTCCTCAATTTTCCTTTCGATGATATTTTTACTGTAATATCTTCTTAGGTTCCCTGAAATGAATATATTATATAATCAATTCAAAATTACATTAAATGAAGAAATAGTTAAGAAAAATGACAACATTTACTTACGTAATGGACGAATACTGAAAGAAAAGCATTTAATGTCTAATCTTTATTATTGTTCAGTATTTATCTTCTGATGTTGGCCGTTTGTATTTGCTGTAAGATATTAATGCATTTTGTGAAACAATTCGACGGGCAGTAAATGAATTATGAAATTATGTAAAATGTGGTAATATAGAGTATACCTCAATTGTTATTGCTTAATTTGAGAAAAGCCTTATTATATGCTGTATGTATGTATATCACAGAACGTAGTTACCACTGAACGATAACGTTAAGCTGTTTATTCTTATAAGGTGTAATTCGTGTATTTGGATTCGTGTGTTGAGTTTCCCAATCGTCGCATTCGTAACTGCCAAAAGACATAATTTACATACATTAGATCTTTTAGATTCTATTATAACAATTTAATACTTTTAAAGAAAAAATGTAATGGGCACTTACCTATTTTTTGAGGCCA